TGTGTACCATCCAGTCAGAACCAATCCACTGCTGACGGCAGGTCTTCAGAGACAGTTAAGCATCTGGAGGGAGACGGCCCATCATCCTTCTGCTGCAGAGTGGCTGCTGGGATCTGAACTGCGTGCCTTTGGGAATGCAGCATGGCTTCTTGCCACTAGGCCACTACATTAACAGGAGGATATACTCCTTTGAAAGGACTTCAATTTTTTTTTTTTTAAACAAATAAGAGACTCAGCAAAGGACAGGAAGGTCTTCTATGAGATGGACTGATGCAGTAACAGAGGTGAGAGCCCAGGAGTGAGAAAGATGCTGCAGCAGGTCCGGGCAGTTCATTGTCTCGTACAGAGTCTAGTACATAGGGTCTTGTCCATGTGGGTCCGTGTCAGCTGGTTAGTATCTGATAGCAACAAAACCTCTATGAGGGCTGAAGCTACACCTATCTTTATCTTTCAGCAGGCTTTCCTCAGTGGTAGACAGGAGATAATTAGTAACATGTGCTAAGAATAATAAAATCCTTGCTTCCAAGGAGCAGCCTAGTTTCACCCTCTCCAGGACCACTGTTTTCTCTTAGCAGTGCATGGTATATTCAATACTCTTCTCCAGAACCACAACTCAAAGGCATCGACTCTTCTTCTTTCATCCTTACTCACTGTCCAGCTCTCTGATACGTAGCAAGCAATTACAAACACCATGACCTGGATCAGGTGCACCTCAGTCTCTAGGCTGACATCATTGCTTTTCAGTACTCAAGAGCTGTCCCTGACAGCAGATTTTCCCAGTGCAATTTGTCTTTTGATTTTCTGGCTGCCAGTATCAAGAGTGTTGATGGTTGAGCCAACCAAACTGAAGCTGCTAACAATCTCAATCTCTTAACTGTCAATCATGTTGCTGCCAATTGGCCCAGTGATGACAATCTTTGTTTTCTTAAGGCTGTAGTCCTTGACCTTCTGCAGCAAACACCTCAGGTCTTCCTCAGTTTCAGCAAGCAAAGTTCAGTCATCTGCATAACTCAAGTAGTTGATGAGTGTCCAATCCTGATGCCACATTCCTCCTCATGGAGCTCGGCCTCCCGAACGATCTGTTCCATACATAGTTTGAAAAGGTATGAAGATAGACGCATCCTTGGCATACACCTTCCCCAGTTTTGAATCATGCAGTGTTTCCCTGCTCTGTTCGTTCTGATAACTGCCTCTAGGTTTTGCGTAAGCACAATCAACTGTTCTGGGATTCCCCTTCTCAAAATTAGCCACAGTTTTTGTTGTAACCCACAAAGTATGTAATGAAAGTAGTGCAGAGTGCAGTGTGCCCTTTTTTGGGGGGCAGAGATTTCTGCTTGAAACAGACCATGTTGGAGACTGGAGATGGATGTAAGACAGAGCTCAACTAGAGCTGCCCCCCACAGAACCACAGCTCAGGGTCTTTGCCCAACTTACTGGAAGGCCAGGGGAAAGATGGCATACTTGGCAAGAGTGAAAGGGCCCCATGGCTGAAGGTGAGCAGGACTGAGCACCCCTGAGCAGTGGTCCTGACTAAAGGATCGTATCCTGTTCGCGATCTGAACCGTAATCTAGTAACTTCCCTAATAAACCCTGTAGCTGTGAGCACAGTTGTGAGTTGTGTGGTAACTCCAAGAGGTCAGCAGCCCCAACAGCCACACAGGGAGAGCCTTGGGAGGGATGTGGGAGCTAGAACTGGTTAGAGGTGGCAAGGGATCTCGAATGGGCTGTCCTCTTGGGAATCTGTCCTGTGCTGTTGATATTATCAATGGGAGTTCTGTTAACTGTCCTTTGTCAGTGACACTGTTTTTACAATTATGAAGGATGTACATTTTACCACTTGGGGGGAAAACCCCAATGCTCTACAGAGGGTTAGTCCTGGCTGTCATCTCTGCGCTGAGTACTATTCACTTAGTATTAAACAGAATTATGACAGTAATACAAGATTACACATTTTCAGCTCATTTATTTTAGAAAAGCAAAAGTTTACAATCAGTGCCGTGAGGCGAGACATAATGAATTCAACAAGTTAGTTAATACACTTTCAAAAACTTTTATAGATTAGTCCAAAGTAAAAAAAAAAAAAAGAAGAAGAAGAAGAAAAAAGATTGCCCACTTAGGGACTCAGATACACTTAAAAAAAATCCACATACAATAACAAATTGGCAAAACCAATCACACAAACTAACTGATAGTCTTGACATTTCACACTGGTCTTTGACAATTTCTGCAAAAACAGCGGAGTGTGTTTCCTACTTCCATAATCAAGTCACGATGATGATGACTATTTTTTTTTAAACCAAAACTGAAAACGATCCCCTGAAAGACAACAAAAGGAAATAAAAAGGGCCTCTAAACCCACACACTGCACAGCGAGTTAACTGACTCCTGAAGACCCAGGACACCTCTCGACACTGGGCATCTCAATGTGAGTTCTCATACCTGAGAGGAGTGTGTGGAGGAGAGAAGTGACGGACCCACAACACCTCAAACGAGGTTTAACAATGACCTGCCGGAGAAACAGTAACACATGAAATGGAACAAAGAACAACGTCAGCGATGATGGCGTGCCGAGGGCTCCTTGATACAAACATCTGCTTTCTCCCTTTACAACAGGTTGGAGTATCTTTGATGATTCTCTAAGGTTCAGGTTTAACCGCGGCAAGAGTTTAGAATTCTGAATTTTATTAGTCAGAAACAGAACTTCTCCAGCGAAGAAGATGACGCTTCCACTTCCTGTAGGACCCTGTGCTTGGCTGTGAGGCGGCCTAGAGTTCATCAGGGAGTTACGGAATCTGTTCTACTGGATTCAGTCACTGCAAGGTGACCTCTATTGGGAAGCATTTTTCCTATAATGAAAACAACACTCCTCTTAAGCTCGGAAAACCTGTTGCCAGGAAAAGCTCACCAGTGAACAAAGTTGAAAATGTGCTTTGTGAGCAATCGAACCATCTCCAGAAAGAGAAGTAAAGATGCCCAGATGCCCACCAGCACCCCAGCTCCTCGCGGGTTCCCTGAGCAGGACTTCTAACGCACAGGCGGGGTGCAGTCAGAGGGCACCACCACCTTGCCAAAGAGAGAAGGCAGGCCTCGGGGTGGGGGACCCTTCAGCCTCGATCACCGCTAGCACAGGCTTGGCTTTACGTTCCTGCCCTTTCCCTCAGCAAGCTCTCAATTAGAGATTCCGCCCAGGGACAAGAACAAGCAGCGGAAGGAAGCATCATCTGGAGAAGGTAAAGGCCAGTCTGAAGCAGCCACGGCTTCTCACTCTGGAGTCGCTGCTATGCTGACCGGCTGGCTCTGGAGGAAGCGTCTGCAGCTATCCGAGCTCCTCACAGCTAAATGCCCAGAAGGACCATGAGGGACAGGAGTGTGACTTTCTAGACAACCGCACCTCGCCCGCCAGAGAGGACGCTACCTGCGACACCAACCAATACGCCTTCCACTTCCATGTAGTCAAGAAATGCCAGTGTATTTTCTGGGACTGAAAGTTTGTTTCATTATTAAAAATAGTAAAAGTAGCAAGAGGGTCCCAAGTGTAACAAATGAGTGTTTAGCTAGTAAGCTCTAAGTACCCGAATTAGACATAACAGGGACCAGTGAGTCCTCAGTAGTAGAGACACAGAGTTTCAGTCGCGTCACGAACCACAAGGCTTCGGAACTAAGCAAAGCCCCAAACAGCATCTGTATCAAGACCACAAACAGCACGCACTTAAATAAGCAAGCATTTTACCTGTTTCCTGAAAACTGGTCTACTGGATAACAAGTCCTCAAGGAACTGCCACCCAAGAAATAATCACCTAAGAAAAGTCTAAACTTAGGTAAAAGGAAAGCCTCAAATCCACACCAATCTCTACAAAGAGCACACACAGAAGACTGCCAGCTGGTAACCAGGTATCACCTTGCCAGGTCCCAGCCTTAGTCCCCGAGGTGACTGGCTGGTGGGGCATGCTCGGTGACAGAACAGGGGACACGGCCACCTGACCCACGATGTCTCCCAGAGCATGACTTTCAGTGCTGACATGTTAATGATGTAATCATCTCATCTGAACAAAGGACACAGCAGCAGTATTCCCTAACACACTCATGGTCAATAAACCTGGCATATACACACACACACACATACACACCCCTGCACACGTTAGAATATAGTTATCATAAAGAGCATCATGATATATATTAATTTTTTTAAAAGCAGCAAAAGCTTTTTATCAAAGGAAATTGCAGAAATCCCACTATTTTAGACAGACAAAAACTTAAGCGGTTGGGTCCTGGCCCAAGCTGGTGGGGACCACAGGGACATCTACTGAGAGGCCGGGCACAGCCAGAAGCCACTGCTCTGAGAAAAACCCACTTACAGTGCAGAGACTGACCACTGGCCTTCTGCCCCTCTCTGGGGGCCCATATAATATGTAACTAAATATAAGCTCAATATACATTTTTCTCTTTTAAAAGTAGTAACCAAAATCCAAATGGTTGTGAAATACAAAACCAAATCGTTAACATCGTGATCTTAATCTGAGATGTGGAAAACTATTATTTCTCTGTAAAGTGCCAAGATTGTGTTTTAAAGACTTAATATTGTCTGTATAAATCTTATCCAAATAGGTGGCCAGGCAGAGGTGGAGGGGGCCCTGTCCTCTCTAGACACAGGTGTCCCCTGGATGGCCCATTTCAGTGTCCTGTCCGAGGATCTGAGCTTTGACACAGATTCAGACAGAGACACGTGTGAGCACCTCCTCTGTGTGGTCACAGCTACTGGCTATGAGGAGTGATGCTCACTTCTATCTACAAGGTCAGTCCAGGACCCCCCCTTCTGCTCCAGCCAGCGCCACCCCTCTGCTCCAGGCCGCCCAGCCCCGGGCCTGGCATTTATGGGAAAACACCTGAAATCCATGCAGCTGACATTAGCAAAACACACATCACATGTTCCCTCTGTCAGGACCATGATTAAACGTCAGAGTTCAACACAGAGACTTGGATGACGTGAATCACAACGGGCATCAATCCGTCTTTTTCTCGAGCGCGGCTTTGGGCTCGTGCATGGGCAGCGCGGCCGGCTCGCTGGCGCCCGGCTGGTCTGCGCCTGGCTCTGGCGGGTCCCGCGGCCCCTCATGCTCCGGCGGCGCCCTGGTCTCCTCCAGGAGCCCCAGGTTCTCCATCTCGCTCTTGGTGTACTCGTACTGCTCCTCCGAGTAGGCGCTGTCCGTGTCGGCCGAGTAGATGCCATAGCACATGATGCTAATGACACCCAGCGGCAGGCCGAAGAGGAAGCACCCCATGAGGGGCGAGCTCTTGAATATGGACTGTGGACAGAGAGGGACAGTGAGCTCTGCCCGCGCGGGCCGGGCCACCAGCACACGGGCGGCCAAGGTCACCGTCGACTCCCTCCTCTCAGCCTCACCCGCGGATCCCGCAGACCTCGGGTAACTCGCCTCTGGTGGCGATCACCACAGTAAACCTGGCATCACAGTGAGGTAAGTCACGTAAAACTGCCAGCTTCCCAACACATACTGGTCAGGTTGATGCCACACGCTATTCACACGACGGGAGATGAAAATAGTGTGCAAATGACCAGAACGTGACAGGGACAAGTGAGCGAGGCTGCCGACAGACCGGCCCACAGCAGCTGACGCAAGTCTTCCACTCCGACAGCCCCACAAGGCAAAGCATCACCGCGCTGAGCCAAGCCGGACCCCGCTTGTCAGCTCACTTCCTGTTCCTTCCCCTCTAGCCCAGCACCTCCACTTAACAGGCCAAACAGAGAAACGGGGCAGGAAAAAAAGGGGAGCGAAATGCCTGGCGAAGTCATTCTCAGAGTAGATGAACTACAGAGATAATAAACTATGGCTTTCAGCTTGTGATCTAAGGTCACCATCTGCAGTAGTGCCGACCGTGGGGGCCACTAATTCCACGTGTGCACACAGCTGCTGGGACACTGGCCCGCTCACATCCTCAGAGATCCCGGCTCTCCTCCCAGGATGCACAGCGGTCGGGATGGTCACCCACCAGGCATCAGCCCTGACCTGCTGTGACCCCATGTTCCACCTAGAGAATGCACTTGCTTCATACCACTGCTGACTACAAGTATCCTGCAAATTAAAGACGGACTACTCGTCCCTAATCCTGCCAAAGTCAAGATCCCACATAAACAACCCCAAACTGTCACAACTTACCACAACAGTAGTTCTGGCGTCAAACATGATTCTTCTCAATCTCTGCAAAATGCTATCACCGCCTTGGGCCTTAAACAAAACAGAAATAAAATGTTACACAACATTCCTCTCTGCGACCCAGCATCTGCGGGAGTGGTAGACCAGGAGTGCCTGAAGCCGGCCTGTCCGGATGGTGGCTGTGCAGGGGACTCTAACCCAGGGCGCGGGCAGCCCAGTCTCCTGATGACAGTCACCTGAGGCCAGAGCTCAGACAGTCAAGGGCAGCGGGGAGATTCCTGATGAGAACAGTCAGACACCTGCATCCACTCCCCCTGTGCTCACCAGCCCTGGCCCTGCAAGCCTTCCAAGTCAACAAAACTCTGCTGCCCGGAGCCTGAGTCAAGTGTCACTACCTTACAAGTAGAGGAGGAATTTCACCTGAAAAAGAATTATTTCCACAAAGAGAAAAATGCAGCTATATGAAATGTCTTGACTTTGGCCCAAAGGACACATACTTGTGGTGGTGTGAGCCAATTTTTATTCAAATCTTGCGAAAAAGAGAAAAGTCTCACAAAATTCTCTTCCGGCTTGGGAAACCAATGAAATCACTTCTTTTCATTTTGTCCTGTTGAGTGCAGACACAGCAAACTCCCAGCCTGCTCACAGAACTGCTGTGAGCTCAATCTACAACTCAGGTGCAGAATCAGCTCGGGAAGGCACGAGAGGAAGACTCACAGACCGGAAAACAGGAAGGTGAGCACAGTGACAGGCGGCAGCTCCTTCTGCGAGGGAGTGTTTAGGAGGGTCCTCAGAGCTTCGCACGAGAACGCTGATTCTCAGACATTTATCACGGTAGGTCCTTTTCGCTCCAGCCAACAGGTCTCATGGACTCTGCAGGACACCCTCACTGCTGCTGACCACGGCTCCCACAGTGAGAACCTGAACTTCCAGGAACTTAAATGCTGGTAAACCGTCTCATCATGGTGACTACCCAAACCACCCCTCAGTGTCCCGTTAAGGGGCACCCTCCCCGTGAGCCTCCTCCTCCACGGAAGCAGCTCTGTGCCCAGGAGCCCGGCATCACCAGAAGGGTGAAGCATGGAGTGGGCGCCACCCTGCTCCAGGCAACAGCCTCGACCACACTGGCAATCAGATCAGCGAGACACACATGCCTGCCAGGACCAGAGTTAATGCCCTCAAACAGCATCTGTACCAACAACTGAACTGAATGCCAAATGCCCCGGGGACTGTCCCACAAAGCCTAATTAAAAACAACAAAAAACTTCCACAAACTAAAAAAATTCCCACTCCACCCGGCTCCATTCTCTAACTTCAACTCCATACTGATATTCTCGGTTCTTCTTTGGAAAAAAAAAAGATATATAAAGAAAAAGACACAAGCTTATTTTCTTCTCTATTCCTTAAGCAGAACTAACCTCCACGGTGCCATTCAGTATGTTATCGATGAAGTGGACCATGTCTTTGGCACTGTCAATCTGTCTGTCCAGCAGATAGTACTGCTGGTTGGAAGTATTTAGAACAACAACAGTTGGGACATCCAGTTCACTGAAAAATACAAAAGCAAGAAGAAAATTGACAAATCCACACTCAATGCAGCAATTAAAGTATTCTGATAATTAGCCACACGGTGGCTGTGGATTACAAACCAAACTAAACCCCCGGCTGCCAGGCCCTCTTCAAGCCCTGGAAACCTCGGCCAGGCACCCAAGCCTCCAAGTCTTCACGGGAGCAGACAGCACACGTTTCCCCCATGGAGCAGCTCGTGGATTTGAACTGCCAATCTTTTGGTCAGCATCAGAACATGTTAACATTATGCCACCAAGGTTCCTGATGTACCAAAGCGTTGCCTTCCTTTGCTGACATGAAGAACTCTTCAATTTTCACATCAATTAGAAAGTACCCAGCTGATGACTATCTGAAAACTACTCTGATGATGTAATTGTTGTCGCTGAGTACCGTGGAGTAGGAACCGACTCACAGCTGACCCTCCAGTGGCTGAGGCAGTTACTCGCGTGGGAGGGGACTGGCCATGCTTCTTATGATGACGTAACAGATATATCTAATAAAGACCTTCCTCTTAATAAAACAAGCAGCGGGGAAGTAAGAAGTAAAGGTAGTAAGAGGAGGGTGGTGGTGGTAGCTGTATGCTAACCCACCAGCTGGTCTTTAGAGCCAATAAACTGCCCAGGGGGAGACTGAGTGTCTTTGCACCAAGAGCAGCTCGTGGATTTGAACTGTGTGACTGTTGGGTTGGTAGTGCAACTCCTAAGCCAAAGAAAGATCTGTACGGATTAAGTGTCTGACGACGCTGGCACTGACGACCTGTGATCCGAGCCACCACTGCCACTCACAGTCACCTGTCAGTAACAGCCCGGCTCCCGCTCACCAGGTAAGAGCAGTCCCTCCAGGGCTGTGGCGCCTGCACGTAAGCCTGTTTTGAACAGAGACTATCTAAAAACTACTACTATTTAGAAGGGAGGCGGTGCCAATAGTACTACCTGCTGTCAGGCAAGTCAGTGAGCCTTTTCTAAACATCATTCTTTATAAGGGGAGAGGGGGCAACAGAACCTACTCTGCTGTGCAAATTAAATGAAGAAACTCATGTGACACACACCGCACCACATGTACATGATGCATTCTGTGCGTACACCTGCCTGGTCTCTAACCCAGCAGTGCTACACGTCAACTGCACATACACCTGCCCAGTCTTTAACCCAGCAGCGCAGTGCATACACCTGCCCAGTCTTTAACCCAGCAGCACTGCCCATATACCTGCCCAGTCTCTAACCCAGCAGCGCAGTGCATACACCTGCCTGGTCTCTAACCCAGCAGCACTGCTCATACACCTGCCCAGTCTCTAACCCAGCAGCACTGTGCATATATGATGCATTCTGCACAGACACCTGCCGGTTCTCTAACCCACCGTACAGGAGAAGTGCTTGCTCAGGATTTCCATTGCATTACGTAACCTTGAACATGCACATCTGTCTCTTAAAGCCATCAGACGTGGACCGTGCTCTTGACGCTCCACTTGGCTTATTACACAGTGCCCTTCACCTCTAGCTCCACCCTCACTGCTACACAGCGGCCGCCGTTGTTAGGTGCCATCAGTCGGGAGTGCCTCACTGCTGACCCTTTGGTCGCGAGGACAGTAACGACAGAACTGTGGCACTGACGCTGCACAGAACTGGAGCTAGAGTTTAAAAAGAATCAAACGCTTTCATCATGGAAATACATGGAAAATCACTTCACGATAAGGTAAATGGAACAGACCAGTTCAATGAACTGTACTGAGATGATTGTTTCTAAAATTTTACACACGTATGTGGAGTTCTTGCAGGCTAGTCCCGAGAGAGGTGCACTGCTAACCCGACGGCTGAGCCTCTCTGGAGGTTCAAATCCGCCAGTGCTCCTCTGGGGGCAACGGACAAGCTCCTCTAGTTTAAGTCTGTAAATACAAAGGAGGGTGTAATCCGCCGGGTGTGCAGACTGGACAAAGGAGCCCTCCCGGCACAGTGCGCTGTGGGATGCAGCGCTGGCCGAGAGAAGTGGTCAGAATGCAGCCGCTCATTGGGCGATGGGCCCTCTCCCAGAGACAGGAGGGCTGGAGCAGACCGGACGGCAGCAGGGCGGAGGCCGCTCGCCTGTGTGATTATCTGCCTTTTAATGGCAAGTTAATCAAATCAAGCGTTTTTTTAAATTCAGAATTTTAAAACTACAGTGAGACACTAAGAAAACAGTGAAACAGTGCCTTTGTCAGACTCTGCCCGATGTATGTGAGGTTCGTTGTGGGTTTTTTCCCACTTTAGCGATCAGGCCTCTGTCCCTTAGCAACAGATAAGACAAAAATTAATAGCAAAATCATTTAACAGTTTACTTACTCCATCAGCAAGCTGTTTATATATTCATTTCCATCCATATGGCCAAAGTGAAAATCCCTAACCAACAATAAAAACAGAAAGATTAAGTATGGAAAAAACAAACAATATAAAAATCGGAACGTGAAACACTAAACCCTGAACAGTGAGCAGTTACTGTGTAAACTGTCTACAACAAATAGAAACAGCAGGACGTGAATTCTACTAGCAGAATTAAACAAACGTGTAACTAACTCAGTCCTTGTTTACCACTGTAAGGACCAACAATCACCCTCTGCTTTACTGCATTACAGAGATACACAGAGAGGCCGGATCCTTCAGAGTCTAAGCACCTACCTGCGGAAGTGGGTTTTATAATCTTGGGCAACTTCCTGAATAACCGACTTTAATCTGCAGAAGAAGAAATTTTATGAATATGCCATTTCCTCTCACAAAAAAACACTATTGCATAGTGCCACTGTGGTAAAACAGGATTGACATAAGGGTTGAGGGAAGACTGAGAAAGAGGGAATAAATAATGTATATCACATTGAAACAGACGAGGGAGAGAACGGTTTAAAAGGGATATATGATCAGGTATTATTGTCAGACAGGAGTCCAGAATGAAGGCTGCACAGTGGAGTGGACTTGGGGGTAAGGATTGTAAAACAAACAATTTTTCTTTTACTTTTCAAAGAGAAGAGCAAACTGGGGGAAGGGGTGGGCAGGGAGAAAAGTGCAACAACAAATGAATGGAAACCCTAAGTCTCTGTAGTTTTGTTCATTAAAATTAATAAAGAAAAAGCAAAACAAAAACCAGAAACACATAACTCGATCTTAGTTGTCTGTTACTCTGAAGAGCTGCAAGAAAAATAACAGCATCAAATCTACCCGAAGCCTTGAACTGGACGGCACTCGAGCTTGGAACGATTTAAGGTACTGTACCTGAGGTGTTCGGCTGATGTATTCTTCTCATCAATAATTGCGATAACCACCAGCTTTCCTGAAATTAGGAAAGACACATTTACACTCAATGCACTCAAACAAATGTTCCAGTATGTTCTTGTTGTTGAAGGGGAGAAAATGCTCCCAGAGTTTAATTCCAATTATCCTATGTAAGTTGAGCACAATAATCATATTGACATATTCATGAATAATGTATGTTTACAGAAAGATTCAATCCATTTTAGTCAACTCTAAAGGCATTAAATTACTACCCACACTTCACCTCTAAAAGGTAGATAATGGTAAATCCGTCTAACAATTCATACCCTCCAACTGTATTTTCTTCACTAGTCACATAGACTATGAGTCGCAAGCGACTCGATGGCACATAACAACAGTCACATACACTACAAATGCTGCTGTTCCGTGAGGTCAGGTTGGAACCTCAGGGGCTGTGAATCAGCGGGGAGGAGACCACCCATCTTTCTCCGGTCAGCAGCTGGCGATTAGAGCCGCCTGGCCTTGTGCTGAAGTGCAGCTCCTCAATCCTGAGGATACCAGAGTTCCCTAAATCACAAACGAAGGTATATCCTTTTAAAATGAACTGAAACCTACGGGAACTCTGGCCCACTGGTAAAGAGGTGCACTGCCAACCCAAACGCGTGCCGTTCGAATCCACTTCCTATGTGATTTACAGCCTCTGATAACCCACAGGAGGTCAGCGGCGACTGGGTTCCAACTCAACCACACAGAATGACGACAGTCCTAAGGAGTAAGCCGCTGTACCAAACTCCTGCATTTTAAAATCCTTATGAAATTATGAGATTCCTCTAGTTCTGGGAGAATGGTATATACGGAGCAGAAGACAATTTCCACATGCAGTTTTTTCAGCTCCCGAGAGCACAGTTGTCATAAGCTATCACGTATTTAACTAGGACACAGGCTCAGGCCCCTTGGGACGGGGAGACAGGCGCAGGACAGGGCAGGGTTCAGATCTGCTGCTGACAGAGTCTCTATGTGTCGTAGACGACTGAACCAAGACCAAGCAAATCCTCCTCGTTTCTAACGTCCTCTAGGGAGGCAGCACTATGAACAGAAGCTTCCCGAGGCCTCGCTCTTGGATCTTGCTCCTCACACCCCTAGTGCCTGGGTGCCCTGCTGCCCCTGTCCCGCTTGGCTTCCTTAGAAAACACTAGCTTGCTCTTCAAGCCACACCAAGGTATACTTTCTGGTAACATTAGCCTATATTCTCGTAAAGCAGAACTGGCATTAAGAGTGAAAGGAAGGAACCACATTTTGAGAGACTGGATTTCTCTTCCTAAGCACACTCCATTTCAGTCAGCAGTTAGGGGGCAGCGGTGTCCTGTGCCGAGTCTGTGCGCGATGGTCACCTGTGTCCCCCAGCTCATACAAGAGGAAGCCGTCCACAGTGAGGTAATTCTGGAACCGCTCCCTGGTGATCCAGGCCTCCAGGTCACCATCTTCAAACTCTGAAAATAAGCAAAGGGGTTGGCAGTGACTCATGTGAAACGCAGGATGTAGAATCGCGAGGTTTACAAAGTAAACTTTAAAACTGTTTTCACATAACATTATATAATAAAACCCTAATTTTTTTGTTCTTGTTTTAGGACATTTCTTTATTAACAGAATGCCCCTTTTCTTACATAAGGAACTTCTCTAAACACTCACACAGGTACAAACACATAAAACCTTAATACTATAGTCTTTTTCCCCATATTAAATCTACTCTGCTAAGCAGATAAAAATAAATCAAAAAGGAATACTGCGTCCTGATTAGAAACATAATTCTAAAGCAATTCTTGAAAATCCGAGCATCTACCTAAAAAGCAGAATGAAGTCAAGCAATCCTCTTTACAGTCCACCTTGGTTTTTACAGTTTTCTTGAAAGCAGTGAATTTTCTACCACGTGGACTGCTGGATAGGAACCCTTTCAAGACATCACACCTATTAAGCAAATGATGCCTCAAATGTGAATACACACACAAGCTTACAATTTAGGAAAAGACACACTAGAAGCTGACACTAAAGTGCAAACCACGTTGTCAGGACTGTACAAGGTGCTGAAGGTGGCAGCTCGAGAGGAAATTCAGTGCTACCGAGTGCTGCACACCCACTTACACACTTACTAACCAGTCAGACACACGCACTAGCACTCAACACAAAGCCTGTGTCCCGTGCACACCACGCTGCAGTTTGGACAGCTGGTCCTGTAGACACCTGGCACCGCTCTGCCTTTCTTTTTTTTTTTATTTTGTGTGCGTGTACCGTCAAATCAGATCTGACTGGTACAGGAGGATATTGCGCCTCCTTCTCTGGCAGAGCGTCTGGTGGATTCGAACCGTGTTCCTCTGGGATTGCAGTGCAGCTTCTTGCCACTAGGCCACCAGAGCTCCCACCGCTCTGCCTTTCAACCTCAGATGTCACATCTAAGACAGGTGGGAGGTGTGGGCGTCTTCCCGGGTGCTCAGGCAAAGAACACGCATCTCAGCAGAGACGGTCAGGCCTCGTCTCCCACACACACTATGACTTTCTAAGCTGTGCTTTTACTCTGAGCACAGCTCACACAGAAAACCTGGGGTCAGAGATCTGAAGGTTCATGTCTGACCAGATCTAAAATTACTATTTTATGTTGGGGGAGAAACAAAACCACCACCTCTTCAATGGTGTTTATGTGTAAAAGACAAGACCGCGGCTGTGACTGAAGGGGGTCCCGTCTAGGGAGCGTGGTCGCGGGCAGTGGCAGGCAGGCGTGGGATAGAGTCCTTCCCTTCTTGTATTGGCACGCATGCGGGGTGTGTCGTGAGACGCCCAGGCAGATCCGGACAACCAACCAGGGAGTGATGTGGGTCTTGTCTGCTCAGTGACACACCAGCTCCCTCTCGGGCACCTTCGTCATCTCAGGATGTTTGTCTAGCTGGCTCCCTGTCTACCTCTCAGATTGCTTCCGTGGAATCCCACGGCAAGCTCACAGACAGAAGGAAAAATACGTGGCCAATGTTTCACAGCAAGAATTCACAATCCGTCCTCACATTTCTCTGAAGGAATGGAAGGTATCAAACAAGCCCGAACCAAGTCTCAACCCTCTGCTGTCCGTCCCGATCTGACTCGGCCGACCCCCAGTGGGTTTTCAGAGGCTGTCCACCGTCTGGGAGGCCAATGTCCATCTTTCTCCCACGGAGCACCTGGCAGACTGAACTGCATCCGCGGGATGGCAATGCGATCTGCTCTGCTGTAGATTTCAAAAAGATGCAGATGTTGAGCACATTTCCGTCATGAGTGGAAGCGCTGACAATGCTTCCTGTGCAGACAGCGCCAATGAAGAACCCAGTTTTGGGTTGGTTTGTTTTTTTTTAATATGTTTTTTTTATAATTATTTAAGACCTTTATTAACAGGTGCTTGCAGTTTTGTTGACTTCTTTTGAAAAAATTAAATTGTAAACTTTTATTACAAATCAAAAATGAGGTTCTTAAAAAAATCTCAACTTGACCAAATATGAAACAATTTAAAAACTTTTAAAGATGTATTGAGAAAAACCAGGCAGAACTCAGTATTTTTGAATGAAGTTGTAATTTTGGGCGTTACCCAGGATGTCAGTGGCCTCAGCAGACGGGGAGGTTCACTGACTCCCCTGAAAGTGAAATGACCTCCACGTCCTGCTCTCCCTCCCCTCACGCAGCCCCCGCCGTGCCCAGGATCTTCTATCTGGATGCTGCACGGAGCAGCCAGGTGTGGTGCCGACCAGCCGGTGCCATCTGGTCCTGGCAGAGGGGCTGTGCCCTTGTGACCCTCGAGGACAAATTCCACAGTCCACAGCAGCTCACTTGATGCGAATAAAAGGCTCTCAAACTGAACGGAAAAGGATTTGTTCCGTCAACCTGTACCCGAATAGCCATCAACCAACTGCATGAACCCCCGCTGGGTTCCTGAGAGTTTGCTGCCCTGGTGAGCACAGGGCACAGTCGGAAAGCGCCGGAACAGGCAGCACGATTCCCACAGATGCCTGATAACCCAGCGATGACTGCGCGGCTGTGTTCACCTTCAAACACTCCCACAAAGCAAACAGGAGACGTGAAGCCAACGTGGCTCGATACTGGTGAGGCGTCCCCTCAGTGACGGGGTGAGGGCTGCCCTCCTCCGTACTCTACTGTACGTTTCATAACATAGTAAAGTGCTTTTAAAATAAGCCGTGGCCGCCGTGAAGAAGCGATGGCTACCAAGGAGGGTCACTTGTGCCAGGAATGGACAAAGGCAGCAAGGGAAGGGCATCAGAGAGGTTGCTCTAGACCTTTCTGGGTGCAAAAACGTTAGGCGGAGTTTCATGTGTTTTTATGTTAAAATGCTGAAGTCCTACTGCCCAGGAGTTGATATGGGTCACTTCTCAAAAACAAACCAAATTAGAAATAAACTCAATGTAGGTAAAATTCAGAATAAAAAGGACCAGAAGAAAAATGAAGGACGGAAGACAAAACCAAGTGTCCACCAGCCGGTCCGCGGAGGGGGACCGGGTGCACACAGCAGCTGCAATCCCTGAAGATGTGAAAGTCCTGGAAGAGAAGCAGCGTTCATCCTTGAAACGTCTCCTGTGATGAAGCCCCGGAACTTACCATCATAAATGAAGTAAGTGTCATCTTTGAACACAATGACAGCAGGCAGCTCTCTCAGTACCACATTCTGCAAAAACAAGACGTTTCAGTAACTTTTAACCAAGGGGAAAATGCAGCTGATGGCTGTGACTGCAACATGTTAAAGGAAAAAAGCATATCAAGTATCTGGACAGGGTTGAAAGGTGCACTGTGGGTCGTGAGGAATGGTATTCACTGCGATCCCCGAGCCAGGCCGGCCTCCACTCTGCACACAGCCCACCACCGGGCCCACCGGGCGGCCATGAGGAAGCCAGGTTCCCTGCTTGCTGTCCGTGTCCCCCACCCTGGGTGGGCTCCTCACAGGACAGCTGGTGGTGAGCGACTGTTGGACTTCACAGTGAGATCACCATTTAAAGGGAGAACTTTTTCGTCAGCAGCCAATTACCAACAGCGATTAGCAAGGAAAGATCCGCTCAACAGACATCCACCGCAGAAAGCTGTCAACGACCTCAGAACCTTAAAATTACAGCCAAGAATCCGGATCAGAGCGGAAGACGACCTGACCTGAGACCCCAGCGAAAACGTGAGATGTCAGAGAACAACCGTGCCTGTTACTGGTCAGCCAGGATGTAAAGCAGCACGCCGCACGGAACAACCAAATGAAGCAAAACCTAGACACTAAGGAAGTTGGGAATGTGAGCTACCACTTGTCCAAACTGCTGCTGTTTACACTGAAAAGGAACTAAGTGCCAACTACCATCAGTCTGGAGTTATCTGCTCACTAAGAACAAGCAGTGATGCCAGTCTGAGGGCTTACTTAACACGCCCGCTGTGTCCACAAACATCACAGCAAATCAACCTGACAAGACGCATAAAAATTCAACTCGACATCTCACCTCAGGAACCACGTCTTCGGTGGCTGCAAAGAAGTATGAATACACAATTAATTCTGAAGCCGCTTCGGCATATTTTTCCTGGAAAGGAACAAAAAAAAGTCACTTGTAAATATTTAATATCACATTCATTCTTATCAGACCCTGAAGTATTCTATCCAGTAAGTACTATTAACCTGCTACCTGTGATTCAGGTGAGTCGAGGTAAAGAATACAAGGAAATGATCTCATAAAATGATTTACACAACAGACCACTGAATGAAGTACTTTTATCTTTCCACAAACAAGATTCAGTAAGTGTAGCGTTAAGTCAGATCAATACTTCAACATGAAGATGCTAACAGGAGAGACGGGAGTGGTGACTGCAAACGGAAACAGGGACCGGAAGGTGGTGCCAACATTAGGTCTTTAACTGCTAACTGGAAGGCTGACGGGTCAAGCCCACCCAGACCCACTTTCTTCAGAAGGCAGGCCTGTCAGTGCGCTGTCACAGTTCACAGCCGGCAGGCCCCTTGGGGAAGGTCCACCGTGTCACACATGGGGTGTCAGGAACTGAAATCTAAGGGTCAGCAACTGGTCTGGGGCTTTTCTGATGCACTGGGAGAGACAGATGTGTGTGTACACATGTACACACAGACACAGAGAGACAGATGTGTGTGTACAGACGTACACAGAGACAGATGTGTGTGTACACACAGACACAGACAGAGGTGTGTGTACAAACGTACAGAGACAGATGTGTGTGTACACACACACAGACAGATGTGTGTGTACACACGTACATACAGATGTGTGTGTACACACAGACACAGAGACAGAGGTGTGTGTACACACGTACAGACAGATGTGTGTGTACATACAGACACACAGACACAGATGTGTGTGTACACACGTACAGATACAGATGTGTGTACATACAGACAGATGTGTGTGTACACACATACACAGACAGATGTGTGTGTACACACGTACACAGAGACAAATGTGTGTGTACACACAGACACAGAGACAGATGTGTGTGTACACCCAGATGCGTGTGTACACACGTACAGAGAAACAGATGTGTGTGTACACAGAGAGACAGGTGTGTGAGTACACACAGACACACAGAGACAGATACGTGTGTACACACAGACACAGAGACAGATGTATGTGTACATACATACACACAGAGACGTGTGTGTACACACAGAAAGATGTGTGTGTACACATGTACAGAGAAAGAGATGTGTGTGTACACACAGACACAGAGAGACGGGTGTGTGTACACACGTACACAGAAACAGAGAGACAGATGTGTGTGTATACACACAGATGTGTGTGTAACACGTACACACACAGACAGATGTGTGTGTAACACGTACACACAGAGACAGATGTGTGTGTAACACGTACACACACAGAGACAGATGTGTGTGTAACACGTACACACAGACACAGACACGTTTCCGTACGCACACGCATGTATACGAATATGGTTTGGACAACTGTGCCAGTGATGGTTATGCGGCATCTGCAGTGTTTCTAGTCCCTGGTTTGGTGGATACCACGTGGTCAACTTCAGGATCATGCCTCTCGTAGTGCAATCACTGCACGGATGGGGTTGCTGGGAGCCGATAAGCTGGGAGAGGGCAGAGTTCCACCCCCACTGAGGCCGACGTGGTGAAGCCGGCCTGCTCTCTGCTCACTCTGGCTGTGACCTCTTCGAATGAACCCTCAGCCCGAAAGGCCTGCAGGACCCGCCAAGCTCAGTTTCATTAGTCTACACGGCCACGTGCCCCAGACCTGGGACTCACCGCCCTGTACAAACTTGTGAGTCAATTCCTCAGATAAATCTCCGTGTGGACATGAGGAGAAACCGGTCGGCACAGCATAGCTGTGCAAGTGGAGAACACCCAGGATGCTCAGAAAGAACCCGAGTTCAAGGACCAGGCCACAGACAGAGGGCCTGTGGCAGGTGCGGCACTGACTGCTCCCCCCCACCTGCTGCATCGGGCCAACACCACACAAGAAGTCACTTCTACTACAAAACCACTCACATTAAACAAAAATGTTTATAGTAAGAGTAAAGTTTTAGAGTTTTGGTCTAAGCTTGACTCTGAGACAAAAAAAAAACAACAGTATTAATAAAAAACATAGTCATATCCTACCTTCAGAGGTGACTCTCCACCGACATAAACGAAAAACACATGGTGTCTCTTTCTCACATGCTCAAACATTTGTTTACTTGGAAGTGGTCGGATGAGAGCTCTGAAAGCAAGACGAACATGTGTCATGAACTAGGTAAGGACACGATGTCTTCCTGGTTAGGTGACAGCCCAGCGGATCTGACTACATCTGCAGTAAATTGACACTAAACGCACGCTGAGCGCTTCGCCCCGCCCCCATGAAGCCACCGCAGCAGCCATCGTGATGAACACTAATACCCACACGGGCAGACGCAGGCCAAGCCTCCCACAGATCAATCCATCAGCTCCAACACGAGTTGTAAACAAATTCCCTGCGAGAGCAGCATCTAAGTCAATGTTGTGACAGGTCAACAGAACAATAACCCACTTAGAGTCCTCGGCTAGAAACAAAGTAAATCCCCAGAGGCAGCTTCCCTTTTCCTGTTGTCAGGAGACTCACACCAAGACACTGTGCATACACTACCTGAAGAACTTTGAATGCTACCCTAAAAGTATTCATTTCTTGTGTTGATTTAAAGCCTGAACAGCTTCAAAATGCCCCACAGACACTGAAACCTAACATGTTTCACAAGGGTGTTATTAAATTTCTTAGAAAAAAGAGAGTAGAGGACAACAGACGTTAACAAGAGAACACAAGTTCTCCCTGGTAGGAAAACGGACAATGGCACAGCCGTGAGCAGCACGAGACGGAGCGGGTACTGGGAGCCACCTTAACTCAAGTGTGTTCAAAGGACCTGGTCAAATGAGAAGGAGGCAGCTTACAACTGGGGGGCAAGTTCTGAGAACCAGATAAGGGTCTAATATGCAAAACACATATTTTTTAAAACTTCTATAACTTTAGTAACACAATCCAAACTGAGCAAAGGTCCTGCACAGAGTTTGCAGTAAAAAGGACGCTCAAATGACCACCAAGCATGTGGGAAGAGCCGCATGTGACCAGCAGGGGGCCCACTGCGGCCAATGCAGCCTCACGGCCACGCTGCAGGGCTCATGGGCACGCTGCAGGGCAGAGGGCTGTCCCCAGGCTTTCCCAGGCTGCCATCTTTTCTCTGGATGAGCTGCTGGTGGATGTGAACTGATGATATCCCAGTTAGGAGCCAAGCACCTACCACTAGCCCGCCCACCAGTGCTGCTTCCATGGCCTAGGCTGCTCCTGGGGCCTCTGACAGGTGCCCACGGCCGTGAGGCTTTCCTGGAGCAGACTGCCTGTCGTTCTCCCAGGGGTGGGCTGGCGGGTGGCCCACCGACATGGACACGCTACGCTACCATCACAATGAGAAAGCACTGCATTCTCACTGGGGTGGCTCTTGTCAGAATACTACTAAAAAGCAGAGGACAAGAACAAATGTTGGCATGGAAGTGAGTGAACTGAATACTTCACACACCGCTAGAGAAAATGCAACCCTCCGCCCCATGCCCCCCAAACAGTATGGCTGCTGAGAAAACAGCTCCGTAAGTCCAACAGTTAACACAAGCTCAGAAGTACACAGTCGAGAGACTGAAAGCAGGGGCCCAAGCTGACGCAGGTCCATCGGCGTCCACACAGCACGAGTCACAGAGCTGGGGGTCGAGGGTCGGCCGAGTATGGTCAGTCACAAAGGGGCAAGAATCGTAAGGTCTAACTGAAGTCGAGTGACAAGAGGCAAAAGGGAAGATGTTTCTCGGTGTTACCAACGACCGGAGCAAGGGAGAGGGATGCCACTGTGAAGGGAGCAGGAGTCTGTCTAGAGACATGAGGGCTGTGCAGTCCACCATGACTGTGGGGGACAGGACACACACGCTCAGCGGTCGGTGCCACCAATGTGACCGCCTGAAACAGGAGGCGCTAACTGGAACAGGGGGCAGTTTTTAAAATGTATTTTTACAATGATGAAAGGCAAAAACAATCACATAAGCTGGGAAATGAACTGCAACAAAGGCTGGTGTATTACTTACAAAATACAAATTAAAAGCTATGGCAGGTTTCTTCTGAATTTAGTCTGTGCTCTTACATTTTACTCTGCCATGGAATTTGCAAAAAGAAGAAATACGTGCTTTGTAAAGACACAATACATTTTCAAAGTGCACAATGGTAAAGATGCATTGCATCAGTCTGCCGCATTCCCCTTTCTATTTTAATACTTTAGTAATTAACTGGAAAGTGATGTAACTGTAGAAGTGACTCCTGAAATTTCTTTTGCAATTCAGTTACATCAGTATGTCTTCTTGGGGTTTTTTTTTGTTAGTATGTCTTTTTTTTTAGGTCAACAAAAACTCAACTCCAAAGCATTAAGACTAATACAATCAACAGGGAAATAAAGTGCGCCTTGCTAGCAATCCTTTCAAATAATTTATGTTTTCTCAAAGATGACATATACAAAACAAAGGAAAATAAAATATGCAATAAGTGAGAAAAGAGGGTAAGAAGAGTACCAGTAAATTCTGCAAAGTTTAACTTATTCGTAATTCTCAAATAATTTAAGTCAGGCAGTGTACCATCACCCAACAAATCCAGCCTGATATCTTAGTTTACTTTAAAATTATTTAAACTTTTAACTATAAAAAAATCCCGTGACATTCATCCTTGACATGTCGCGCTCCCCAGCCTCCGAAGGTTAACTGATGTGTTGTGTGTCCTCTACGTGAAGTCCCCAGTGAGCCCACCAAATGCTAACAAGCATCCTCTTCCAATCTACCCCGTCAGGCAGCAGTAGTCCAAGAGCAAAATCATCACAAAAATCAAGACTCAAAAAACTGTTAGTGTGACACAACCAAAATTTTAAAAGGTATTAAATATCCACTGGGAAATATTTTCTCTTTGAATTTAAACGTGAGATTAAAAGTAGGTAACAAAACTCCTGACCTTTTTTATTTCTTTATGGCACCCTCTTGGCTACAGTACTTGATGCTATCATACTAAATAAATAAAAAAAAGCAAACAAACACATTTTACTAGCTAAGTCCTTACTACGTGTGCACATAACACAGGCCCTAAAGAGACACTCACTCTTCCAACAATGATGTCGCCCAGTGAGGGCTGTTCTGAGAACACTTACCCAGACACCCTGTGAGCAAAGTCAATGATGTCATCTTTGGTCCGTGGGCCTCGATAGCTGTATGCCAAGTCCCCCTTTAATCTTAAAAAGGCAGAAAGAGAGGACAAAAGAATGGGTTAAACGGTTTAAATTAGCAATGCTGACCATTATGCACTACAGCAGCAAACTGCTCTATGCAAGAGTTGAAGAAGTAGCAAGCTCACGTGACCAAATACAGCGGTAACACCGAGGACACAACCACCAACTCAAAGTAAAGGCCCTGGCTGATTCTAATGTGTGTCAGCTAGGTGAGCTGTGCCTATGACTTCAGAAAAGTGAAGCATCTGTGCATTCAGGGGTTTCAGAAAAAGTCAATCATCTACACATTCAAAGGGAAGAGTGCAGAGGACTAAAGAATTGTAATGCTTATATTGGTCCTTATCAGAAAGAAAAGACACAAGTCAAGATTATTTTGACCGAGAAAAAGGACATCTTGAAGTCCCCCACATCACAGTCCATGCCAGTACTGAGACTGCAAAATTACAGAGGAAAGCAATGCATTGAAACACAAAGGAGGAAAAAAAAATGCAAACCATCTTCTGGAAAATGATAGAATCTTCCAAATGCAGGCATTTATTTACATGACTAATACAAGTTTGTTTTTTAAAAAAAAAAAAAAAATTATGAAAAGCAGAATGAACACTGGAAAGTAAAAGGAGCTTAGTAGCCACTTTTATAAAATGGGAGAACATATATGTATAAAACTAAAGAAAGAAAAACATTAAAATAGGTAAAAAATTTGAAATTAGTACATAAAAGCTTATTACCATAAAAACGATTTCAAAATAATTTCCTCTCACTTTACTCTATTAGCATGACAAAGTTAGTGAGAATCAAGAGAAAGCACAACGCAGTCCCGACTAGAAACAAGCCGGACTCTCCTGCTGTCTCTTCCAACTTGTCGGACCCTCGCTTGGGCTTAACCGAGCGGAACGCTCCATCAGAGGTGCTTCTCCTGGTTTCTTCTGTCTCTAATGAAAAAGCCTCGTTTAATTACACAGAAGTACAACTGTTAGGAGGCAGGATTCACTAAGATCAACTGGAAGCTAAACCAGACCGGAGCAGGATAGAGTCCCGGCCGAGACCATGTGCCTGGTGTGCACAGCCCTAGCCAGACACAGCCTCACGCACGGTCAGTGCACAGGACAGACACCTGTCCCTGGGGACGGCCTAACGCCTGTCCCAGTCAGTCTCACACATGGTCAGTGGTACCCCTCTCTGCACAGGCCAAGCCTCACACATGGTCAATGCAAAGGACAGAGAGCTGTTCCAGCTGTCTGCACGGCTGAGATCTGTCAGTCAGCTGCACACGTGGTCAGGGCACCGGACAGGCCCGTCACAGCCTGAGCCGGACACCGCTCACCTTATACATGTGATCAGAGCACATGACAGACCCCCCACACATCTGTCCGCACGGCCCAAACCGGACACCTCTGGCCTTATACACGTGGTCAGGGCACAGGACAGACCCCTGTCAGAGCGGACACCTGTGGCTCTTGTACACATGGTCAGGACACAGGACAGAACCCTGTCACAGTGGACACCTGTGGCTCTTGTACACGTGGTCGGGGCACAGGACAGAGCCCTGTCACAGGGATACCTGTGGCTCTTATACACGTGGTCAGGATACAGGACAGACCCGTCACAGAGGACACCTGTGGCTCTTGTATACATGGTTGGGTCACAGGACAGACCCGTCTCAGAGACAGCTGTGTTCCTATCTGCAGAGCCTGAGCTGGACGCAATATTACACACCGTGAGTGCAGTGACAAACCCAACATCCATTTACTCAAATGTGAAGCGAACCATTAGGATACAGGCCCTCTCTCGACAGCATCCTCTATCTAAACAGAAATGGTGAACCTGTATCTTAAATCTTTTAAGGAAGCTACTAGAACGTAAACAAGCATGGCATGAATTAAGAAAAGGCGCGTGTATACACACAGCATCACTTACAGCTTAATTGTGGGGTACCCGCGGACTCCAAACTCTGCAGCAAGGCCTGGACAGGAAGGAAGACAGAATTATCAATGTCAAAAAAACAACAGGGGCATACAAATCAATGAGCCTTCTATCCAAACACCATGCATTTCTGGTCTAGAGCGACAGGCCTGGTGGGAAGGAGCTGCACGGCCGACGCGAAGGCACGGAGTTCCAATCTACCAGCTACTCTGCAGGAGAAAAGACGGGCCCTGTCTTCCCGTGCCGTTTACAGCCCTTGAAAATCCTCCGGAGGGTCAGCTATGAGTCCGTTCCGACATCATCATAGCCGTGATGGTACACAGCAACAACAACAGTAGGACGATGTCCTGCCGACCCAAAGACAAGTGGTCTCACGACATCAGCTGCTCATCGGAAGACAGAAGGGCCATCACCCCGAGGCAACTTAGAGTCCCTGAAAACCTCCGAGCTGGTTCTGACTCGCCCACACATGCTGTTGTTTTTGTCGTAGGCTATTACAAAAGGCGAATTCCACTTAGCTAAAGTAACAACGTACACAACAAAAACAAAAAAGAATTGCTACAGTAACATTTGGTGAATAGAAGAAATAGTGTAATGGGAACAAGTAATAAGGCTTAAGGATGTTTAAAGGCACAGAAATCACGAAAGCAAAGTAATATTATACTATCTCATTACAGACTCAAGTCAGCATAGAAATAAAATGGTCTTCAGTTAACGGACAATAGGCAGTAAAGAATATTCGCCTCGCTACACAGGTATATGTAAAGTGCACTGTATTTACTTGCATGAGCTCTATTGTTCCCAGAATATTTTCTGATCTCCATGGACAGGGGAATTACTTCTCCAATTTCTCTAAGGAAATTTGGATTCAAGAAAACAAGCAGAGCAGCACGCCTGGATATGCAGATACTAGGAAGGGAACGTTCCTTCCTCCACACCGTGATGCTTCATTGAGGTCACGACCGTGTGGACGATCCAGTCCGGTCAGTCATGCGTAAGCCTTTCTAAGGCGACTGATTACTGCTCATCTCTAACTAGGGTGTAAGGTGCTGGGGAGCAGGGAGGTTTGTGCTCCTTGACCCTCATGCATGCCAGGTGACCTGCAAAAGCCTGGCAGGGAGTTCACCCTACAACCCCCCGAATCAAGGGGGCTCTGACTCATGTGATGCTGGACAACAGGGCAGAACTGCCCATGCGGCGTCTAAGGTCTGTACTCTTCATGGAAGCGGACTGCTGCGTCTTCCTTCTCAGGAGTGCCTAGTGAGTTCAAACCACTGACCTTTTAGTTAGGAGTCATGTTCTTTCACCACTGGGCAATGTGAGTCCCTTGCAGTGTAGTTAAATGACAAACGGACCCACCGCCATGGACTTGGTCCCACCTCACAGTGACCCGCCCAGGGTTTCTGAGACTTTAACTCTTCACCGAACCCACTCAACCTTCTCCTGCAGAGCAGCTGGTGGATTTGAACAGCAAACCTTTTAGCTAGTCGTCTGGTATGTTATGACCTGTGCCACCAGGACTCCTTTGGCAGGTAGTAAAGACTTCTTAAATATCTGCCGAGTCAGCAAATACTCTTCAACGTTCTCACAACAGGAAGATCCTTCAAACAACTGTCATCTGTATTTTCAAGCAGTCACAAAGCTTTAGAGGAAGCATCAGCACAGGGTCACGGCGCAGGGGAGTGACGGAGAGGGGAGGAGGGGACCCAGATTCAAGGAGGACATGCACAACGTCCACCAAGCAAGCGCTTGTCACCGTGTCTGCCACCTGATGAACCAAGTGCATACCAACCCCCCTTCCCAGTGAGTCGGTGCGTGAACCACCAAGCTGCACGTGTGTGGCCCCTACCTGGTAAACCCTGGGGTGGGTTTATAAACTATCAATTCAACCTAATATATAATACTACAAGGATAGGTAAACAAGAAATAAAATCTGGTGAGCTCTGGTGGCCTAGTGGCAGGAAAATGCACTGCAATCCCAGAGGTGCACAGTTCAAATCCACCAGATGCTCGGCTCAAGAAGGAGGAACAATCGCGTCCTGTACCAGTCAGATCCAATTTGACAGTACACACATAAAAAGAAAAAATAAAGAAATAAAATCTATTAACAATCATGACATCACAAGCAAAAATAACTACATTTGTTTTTTCTAAAAAGTCCCATTTAATTGCTGAAAACTGCCTATGCAAGCTTAAAGTCCCACAAGAATAATGCTCTTTGTTGTTTTTGTTAAGTGCCATCGAGCAGTGGACAACTCACAGCGACCCGATGAAGAGCTGACCTGAACCCTGTCCTACCCTGTGCCACTCTGATCATCTCTGACACAGGAGACCTCACTGCTGACGTCACCGTGTCAATCCAGCTCACTGGACGTCTTCCTCTCCCTCACTGACCCTCCACCTTTCAAAAAATGATGTCTCTTTCCAAGGAACAGTCTTGCCTTGCTACATGTCCAAAGTCTGAGAGACTAAGCTTCTCCATTTTTGCCTCCAAGGAGCACTCCGGCTGCCTTTGGCAGTGCATGGAATAATCAATACTCTTCTCCAGCACAACTCTGAGGCATCAATTCTTGTGTTATCATCAGTCACTGGTCAGCTCTCTGATGTACAGCAGGTGATTGAAAAGACCATGACCTGAATCAGGCTCGCCTTAGTCTTCACACTGACATCACTGCTCTTCACCATTCTGGAAACTTGACACATAAAAGCATCATGGCATCTAAGCTACACAGAAAATGCTTTTTGGCTATCCTCCCAGAGTCACAGTCCTGCTTACTAGGGACTTTTAAACAATACTGAATAATGAATATGAATTACTTGTGTTAATGAAGAATTTCTGGTTCAATGAAGCTGCTGATTACTACAGAAGCATCATCCGAGAAGGTCCCCACGCCGCAGGGGCTTAATTCATCACCCGCTCTCCCCCCACCAGTCTCTGCATCATCTCTTCTCCTCTCAACGTTTCAACAACTAACTCGTCTGACTTAACAGTCCAGCTCCTACACTCCAGTTCCCTATTGCCAAACATCGCTAAGCACGAGAACACGTATCTGAGACAGTGAATAAGTAAATGCACAGAAAAGTCAAACTTCATGCTTCTAATGCTTGGTTCTCCAGTCCTGTTCCTGATCAGCAATCTGGTGTGAGCATCTGTGATCATTCACACCAGAGGGCCAGTCTGCCTGGTCTATCACACCTGTGCAACCCAGTGATCTTCCCACCTCAAACCGCTGCCCTCCTCGTTCACTCTACATGACCCACGGGCAGGCGTCTGCTTCTCAATAACGCACTACCTTTCCCTCAGCCACTATTAAAACAGGAACCCAACGTTCTGGCCTCACGGCCCTTGGTAAGCTGATGCTCTTCTACAGTCACTGCCCTATGGGCTTCTGAATACAAAGGAGGAATACAACCCTTCAGGATTTTCCATGCCTCTTTTATAGACGTGGAAATGAAGATTAGTAAGGTTAAGTACTTTCCCAAAGCCTCAAAAGCAGGCCACGACATGGCATGTATTAAAACTAACGCCTGCTCTACTCTCCAGGATAATCCAGTGTCTGATGTGAATCCTTCCTCTTCCTGCACGGCTCACAGGGAAAGGGAAGCCACACTGGTCGGACAGGTCAAGGCGCCGTCTCTCTCACACACACAAAGAAAACATCTCCTCCTCTCACCTTGAAGCCGCTGCATGCAAGCTGTTAGGATAACAGCACAGTAATAAACAAACAGAGGAGATGCTCACTGGCGTAGGAGGTGGCGTCCATCTTGCCCACTTTCACAGGAGAGCCCATGTTCTTCATCTCAAGCCCAACTTCATTCCAGATCGGCTCCAGCTTTTTACAGTGACCACACCAGGGCGCATAAAACTTAGAAAAAACGAGAAAGAAAAAATTTAAAATCCAAAACACCCCACTAAATGTATCACTATGAACAACAACCTTCATTTCAGAGACTTTGGCTAAATGATCCAATAACAACTTTGACATAAAACTCTTAAACATCAGTTTTTAAGTGGTTTTATAATAAAGACAAAAAGAAAAGAACCCAGACAGGTTAACTCCTAACATACCTCAAAACTGACACTCCCTAAGCTCATTTTAACCATGTAAATTTCTTTCCTGTAACCATTGCAATTTACAGTAAAAATAATCTTTGCTTCTGAGACGTGCCTACGCTCTACGGAAACTGAAGGCTCCGAGTAGCTCATCCACGCCATACAGACGGAGTCGCTCACACACAAGTCCCTTGTCCACACAGCTCAGGGGGAGAACATCCACACCCAGAACCAGCTCGCTCGCTCTCTTACACACACACACACACACACACACACACACACTCTCTCTCTCTCTCTCTCTCTCTCTGAGGGAGTCCACATACAACCAGCTCTCTCTCTCATGCACATATTTCCTCTCTCTCCACTTGTACATCTTGTTCTACAGCAGCCCTTCCAGCAGGGCTGGGCCTCTGCTGACGCCCTGTCACTAGTGAGGCGTGATGAGCACTGAGAGGTCACTGGGCAGGGACACAGCCAGGCTGCATCCAGCAGAGCCACAGACTTGCATCTTTCTCCAGCACCTGCCCAGTGGGCCGGCCCCTACATGTTTCTAGAGCAGTGTCCCAAACTACCTGCTATGTTTCCATGAAGGGACAGTAATTTGTAACTCTGTGACATGGACATTTCCCAAAAGGCACAGAGGACAGGCAGAGCCGGGCAGAGGCCTGGGTCGTCCCCTCTGGGTTGTACCCGCTAGGTCATCCCCTCTAGCTGCCACAGTCTATGGGAGGGTACTTTACAGCAAGACCCAACCTCCACCAAGTGGAGATGGTCTCCAAATTTCAAAGATGGCTGCTAAGAGCCCTTAACATACTAAACCTCTGAAAAAAACTTTTAAAAAAAATGGAGTGGATTTATAATAAAATCTTGCTATAATCTCTCTCAGATGTAATCCAAAAGTCAACCTTATGTAAGACGGGATAATCCCTGCTTCCCCTTCTAATGCCGCCCCTCCCCTGGATTTCGCACCAACACCAGTTCATTTTAATACCTATACTCAAATAGCAATCACTGAGAAAACGGAGTAGAAACAAGCATATTACGGATGAAGAACAGAGTAATTCAAGTAGTAGAGGGGTGATAGATAATATTTACAGACTTACATCTACAAGCCAAATGTCATCTTTCCGATTGTCTTTGAACCTGAAAAAAAAAACAAAGTCATTTCCCCAACTTTCCTCAAGTCTGAAAGAAAAAATGTCCATTATGTTGCACTTTTGAAACCAGACACAAACTTCTGGTACAATATCAAACCAAAACTCCTAGGAGCAGAGAGTGCTGGGGGTGTAAAATCCCTGACAGCTGTGGGGGGTCAATCAGGTACAGCCCAGCGAGCAGACTCCCTCGGGGAGGTGACTGTATGTCAGGTGGGAGTGTGTGTGTGTGGGGGGGGGGGTGGCTTCCCCCAACAGAGTCAAATCACCCAGTGGCAGCAGCCCTGCTCTCCCCTAGACCCCAGGCCTGTGCCATCGGGGCAGCAGGGAGCTGGCTCTTAGGGAGAGGCCACTGGCAAACATACTCTGCTCTGGATGGACGATGCTCGACCGTCCCAGGTACCAGGAAGTCTCGCCATTACGCAGTGAGATGTCCACCTGTGTCTTTCCCTGACCCAGCAAGCGGACTTTTATCTGTGAGATCAGGCAAGTGAGAGTCACACGCAACGGCTCACTGAATCCAGGGCCATGGAAACTGCCTGGGACAAGCCTGCCAACAGGTTTGACAAGAGTTTGACAGGAGTCCCAGGGACACTCCCGAGTGACAGTGCCAGTCAGGTCTCCTCTCCCTTCCGGGACCACATGGTGACCCTGGTGCATGGGTGCTCTGTCCTCACAGGGTTTCGGGGCACCCCCAACCACTGCCATAGGCACCCACAAGGCTAGCTCCCTGAAGCAGGGCCTCTTGCTGGTGGGGACCACCCCATGTCACGTATACTCTACTTCATTTATTAATACCCTTTCCAGGCAGTTAGCCAAGGAAGAGCAGTAGTCACTATAAGAAAATCACTGACCCAGAGATTTCATACTGACGGTCAAGACTTTGAAAGGCCCCACCTGTAGAAAAAACTCAGGACCTATATCCTGGGGTAGATGGATGAAAAGGCCTGTCACCCACTCCAGCCTTCAACATGGAGTGAGTCTCAACATCAAGAAAACAAAAATCCTCACCACTGGACCAACAGGCAAAATCGTGATAGTTGGAGAAAAGACTGAAATTGTCAACAATTGTGTCTTGCTGGGATCCATAATTAACACCCCAGGAACCAGCAGTCAGATCAGGAGACATGCTGCACTGGGAAACTGCTGTCAGGGATGCTCCAAATCACTGAGGAGCAAAGATGTCAGTTTAAAGACTAGGATGTGCCTACTTCAGGCCAACATCTTTTCAATCACTGGCTATGCAGCTGAGAACTGGACAATGAATAAGGACAGAAGGAGAACTGATGCCTTTGAGCTGTGGTGCCGGAGAAGAGTACTGGGTTATCTCAAGGACTGTCAGAAGAATAAATAGATACACAGTGGACAAAGTGTAGCCAGAGTGCTCCCTGGAGGCCAGGACAGCGAAGCTTCATCTCACATACCCTGGGCAAGCCGTTAGAGAAGATTAGTCCTTGGAAAGGGCCATCATACTTGGAAAGGTCTGTGAGATAAGACCCTCAACAAAATGGACTGAGACAGTAGCAATGGGTCTGTGTCAGATCGTGAGCCTGGCACAGAAGACGACAGGGCTCGGCTCTGGTGCTCTCAGAGTTGCTCTGAGTTGTATGTGACTCAATGGCACATAAAAACAAATGCCCCACTGACCGCTGGCGGTGTACACACAGGAAGGTGCGCTAATAACCCAACCATGGTGCCTCCCAGGTGGTTCGTATCTGCCAGCAGCTCCAGGGGAGAAGACGGTCAGTCTCCTCCTGTGAAAGGTCCAGACTCAGAAACCAGTGGGAGGGTCAGCTCTGAGTGGACCCGGACTCAACAGCAATGTCGCACTGACTGGAATGTTCAGGAAGAGGGCAGAGCCAAGGGTCTGGTACCCAAGTGAAGGATGCTTGGTCAAACAGGGCAGCAGTGCAGATCTTCCAATGAGCTCTCGCTCCGAGACCCCAGGCTGTTCTCCCGAGATGTGCAGGATGAACTGGGGTTATCTTATTCTGCAGTACTGGCCACATAAGGCTGTTCTTTAACCAATGTCCATTCTCTCCCAGAGCAGGAAGCTTTCAGAGCAAGCCCCGATTACATCTCATGATGTGATCACTGATGTTCCAAAGAATAGAGCCTTCTGAGATGCAACAGACTCAGAAAAACTGATTAAGAAAGCAACAGAGCCGTGCAGGGCCTGGACAGTCCTGGGGTGCAATGGCCTAGCAGAGGAATCCGCCAGACAAAATACCAACCCTTCAAACTGACCAGCCACTCTGCAGAGACAGGCAGGGTGCGTCTACAAAGATCGCCCCTCGTAACTGATGGGCTGTCCGACTCCATCCTAGAGATGCAAAGGGAGAGGGAGTCAGGGGACGGCAGCAGGTCTGAGCGTCAGGGTCTGGACTGGTCCAAGTCAGCGGGACGTGCCACCATGGCTGGGGCAAGTGCCACCACAGTCAGGACCTGGCAAAGGGGCTGGCGGTGGCAGGCCGCGGGGTCCAGCATAACCCACCAGGTGAGAATGTGTAGCCAGCTGGTTCCAGGGGTCTGTTCCTGGAGGGTCCAGAGCTGCTCTATGTTGTGTCAATGTCTTCTGTGACACTGTGTGACATTCTGTGACCCATGTGTGCACAAGCTCAATCTCTATGGCCGTCCTCTCGTGGACACTCCTGTGCTTGCTCTGGGGACCAGGACATGAGCTTCCTGACTCAGCTGACACTGCGCCCTGAGTGGAGGAACTTCCTGGTGGACATCTCCACCTGTAACAGACAGTGTGTGGGAGATTCCAGATGCCCACTCTCATGAGAGGTGTCTTTTCACGCCAGTTCAAGGCTTGTCAGTGTGCCGGCCACTCGGCCAGGCCATCAGCAGCGAGCACACATACAGCACAGCTGCTTTCTTGGGGCCCATGAATCTCTCTGGCCACTGGGCAGCGCTGTCCCGACCAGCTGGTAAGGGGCAGGCGTCTCAGGCTGACAGGCAGCCAGCCACACTCACCCCCATATAAGTTATCCAGGAGGGGTGATCCATAAACCAGCTGGTCTGGGAGGTCCCTGCATCTGGGCCCTCAATGGGCCAGCAGTGGCACCAGATGCCTGGACAATATGACGGGGACAGAAACTGCTGACACGAGATAGGACACCTGAGCTGTCACGACACCGTCATTTAGGGCCTCAGCTAAGACTGACATCAATTCTGAACCCCAATCCCTTAGAGGACACACATGTCCAAGGACTAAGGCTGTAAACAGTTACAGGAGACTGCCCTGCCCTTCTCCCATGGCACATCTGGGGGACTCAAACTGGTGGCCTTTCGGGTAGTAGGCAAACATATAAGCACTACGTCACCGAGGCTCCTCTCAAAATGCCATCGCCGGGATTCACTGGTGTCTGGCATCCACGAAGCACCCATGAGGCCAGTAGTGGTCTCTTAAAGAGTGTGTGCTCTTTGCCCAGCTCCAGAGCTCAGAGGTCCAAAGGCCCAGTGGGCTCTTCAGGCCTGTGGCCGGGACTTTCTGGCAGGTTCCAATACAAAGGGGCTGCTAAGTCCCTGTATTTAAAACCAAGCAGGGATAGTCAGGGCCCAGAGGATGGCGCCCTGGGGGTCCTGCAGGACGGCCTCGGGCATCCTTTTGCTCAGGCCACAGTTCAAGGATACCTCCTCTGTTAGTAGGCCAGGAGGGAGCTCTGGTGGCTGGCAGCCCAGAGGCAGGCAGTTCAAATCCACCAGCTGCTCCTTGGGAAAAGATGGGCCCTCTCCGCCCGCGTGACTTACAGCCTCTGAAAGCGAGTGGACGGTGAGGTAGGAATCGGTTCTGACTCAACGGCAAGGAACAGCAGCAGGGAGCCAGGAGGCAGTGCCAGTGGCCAGACAGCCTCTTCAGGGCAGAGAGGGAACACAGTGAGCTTCTCGCCACAAAGCTCCTGACCCCTTGGTTTGATCCTGAGACGTCACCTGGGTCCTTGTCCCGAGTTCACGGAACAGCTCCGTCACCTCATGTGGATCATAAGGACACCCAGTCGCTGGTGGTGCTGACTTTTAGGGACCAAAGGAAGGATGACCTCAAGGCTGGCAGTCTCCCCAGGAGGAGCTGAGGACCGAGATGGCCTCGTGGAAGAGGCAGCAGCAAAGTGAACTGCTGAGTACCCGCTGGGGACGCCTCTCTGAGAGGCAAGTGCAAGGTCAGCACCCAGCTCCCACGGGCTGGGCCACAGCCTCTGTGACCATCAGTGTGGGGTACCAGGGTCACAAGGGCTGAGACTCCAGCACCAGGCACCTGCAGCCTGTGCACAGACGGAGATGGCCTCGGGAGCAGCCCGGTGTCCTGCAGCTCAGGAGGACACCGTGACTTGATTCTCCCCTGGCACTGACACTGTTACTAGGAGACCACTCCACCAGGTGCCCACTCTACTGCTCTCAGTGACCACTGAGCCAGTTCTGACTCATGGTGACCACACAGAGAACAGGTCTGCAAAGCCGTGACCTTCCAGCAGCAGATCCGCATTGTCTGCCAAGATGTCTCTGGGCAGGTGAGCGATGGAGCGGGGCTAAAGCTGGCAGCAGCGCCCCGACCATCAGCGTCACTGCTACAGGGTAGGTGCAGTGCCTCTCAGGTGCGGCAGGACCACCCACAGCAGTAATTTCCCAGGGCAGGCAGGTAAGCAAGTGCACCCACCTTCAACACCAATGACACACTCTGAGGTGCCTGAAAGGTCAGTAGTACGGGGCAGTGGCTCACCCCCGAAAGCCAGAGAGCGTTTTCCTTCTGCCTGGTACCAGGGCCTGTGGGCTCACTTAACCGTGAACCTGAACCCAAGGCTTAAGAGGAGCAACTCACCCACCGCTTCTATGGAACCTGGAGCTTGGCAGTGGACCTCAGGAGACCTCCAGGGACAGAGCCACCTCAGCTTATCCCTGTTGCTGATGGGTGCCATCGAGTCAGGAACGCCCCCAAGCTGATGCTCCAGTCGGGGGAGAAGACTGTCCAACCTCCCACAGAGCAGCTGGGGGTATCAAACCTCTGCCTTTGAGAATGCAGCAGTTTCTTACCAGTAAGACACCAGAGTCTCGTTTATTTCTGAAAGCCGAGAAGCTCAGGGGAAAGGCGGGAGGGTCTCTATCTCCAGAGGCTACAAAAAGGTGGAGAGGACAGCACCACGCTGTACACAGGGGCCACTGGCAGGCAGACCGTGTAGTCTAGGTGTGGCTGTCAGACGCTTGACAGAAAGACTGTCAATGTCCACCTTCGAGACCTGTCATCAAGTGAGCAGAGGAGCCGTGTCAGGAAGGCTCTGTGCGAGTCACCAGGTGACAAGCATGTGGTCACCACCTGTCAACTGCTCTATCCTTGCTGGCCTGGCAGGACTCATTTCTTCCCACATTAATTTTTCAGTGAAGACTCCAACACTATCAAGGATGGATCAACCTGACCCCATGAGGAGGTTTAACTGGGTAGGTAACCGGAGAGCAGAAAATCCTAGAAATCTGAGTGTAGTTAATATTCCCCTCAGTCCCTCAATACAGACCAAAGGGAGTATGAGAATGGGTGACCAGGACACTGCAGCCTCAGAGGGTGATCCACACATGACTTTGGGTGGCAGAAACTCTTCCTCAGCGGGACTGGCCCAGGAGAGCCGAGGCATTTCCCTGTTGGAGAAGGGTAGTCTTGCTGTCACTGTCTCCCTCTTGGGTAAAGCAAGGTTTCCTGCAAGGATGTCTGGAAAGAGGTGGCCTGTGGACACCATGCCCCTCCCAGATCAGAAGAGGATCACTTCCTACATCACAGAGGTCAAGCAATCAAGGCTCTAGGGCCTCAGGCTGCCGGGCAAAGCCAGACCCCACAGCCCCATACTCTGTTACTGAATGCCTAAAGCTCAAAGTCGCTGAGCTGAAGAATATGTACTGAAATAAAAATCAGGGCCAGAGCTGACCCATCACTGGACACGCTTTGGCGGGCAGTGTCTCTCACCGTTCTGGGCTGCAACACCAGGATACTATGAAGAGCAGACACGCAAGCTTTTCAGCTTTCAGAGACAATATAACCCACAGGCCAGGCTGAAGGAATCAGGAGCTCAAGAGAAGATGAATGGCCGCCCTCTGGAACTAGAAGATGATTCTGTACAATCATCTCACCCTGTCCAAGAGCCAGTACCAAAGAAGCCCCGGCTCTCAGCACGGCCCATGCTCGGACTCAGCCTGCTGAGGTGACCTTTCTGCCTGCTGAGCCGACTGTCCTGCCATCAGTTGTCCACATGCACAATCCGCACAACAAGCAAAAGAGACACAGCCGAGCCTGATCACAGCCAGCGAGAGGCAAACGAGAGGGGCCCACTGCCCCGTGTTCCATGTCCTCCACGGAACAGCACTCTGAGGAGAGGCAGGTAAATGCAGACAGGGGCCCCTTGCTGCTCAGGAAATCCACAAAAAGGTTTGTGAAAGCCACAGGAGGAGAGGAGGAAGGGCCGAAACTGGAAAAGCCACCAGCGCCTAGAGGAGGTGTCTGGGGTTAAGAATGAGACAGGCACTTGACTGCTGATAGGGAACTCCAAATCTGTAAGCACAGCTTCCTCCAGACCCGGAGGTACGCTGCCTGTGCCCAGGCCTGGTGCAGGCAGGCCAGCCATGGCCAGCAGGTTACCAGCGTAAGTCCTATAAGAGTCCCAGAACCCCTGTGGGCAGGCATGAAGAAGCAAATGCAGGATTCTGGCTTGAAAATAAGATTCCTACGAGCCAGGTCGTGACTAAAGCTTTGGGGGGATATGGGGTGTCACTGTCACACAACAAGACTCTCTAACTCCAGTATTCTTCATTCAGTTGTGACTAGAACAAAAACTAAAAACTCAGTGCCGTCTAATCAGAACTGACTCCCCGCTAGCCCCCTAGCAGGTTTTCAGAGGCTGTAAATCACTTGGTAGGCGAGGCTCATCTTCGTCCTGTGAAGCAGCTGTGGGAATCGAACCACCTGCTTTTGGGGTGGCAGCACAATTGTCTGCCACTACAACAGGAAAATCTGCATTACAAGTTAAATGTCAGAGAACCGGAAATGAGAACATAGAAAGGTTAGTCCTGTTTTTTGATCTTGTACATGTCAGTAAAATGGTTCTGAGCATAAATAACTAGTTTCGACATAAACAGTGCTCAGAACCACTCCTGAACAGAATCAGGGCTAAGTTAAACACACCATTCCAATCTCTATATTATTATTATTATTATTAAAGTTAGAATGAACACGCAGATAACATAACAGTTAAAAATCCTACTTAAATAAAATATGAATACTTACGAGTCATCTAAATCAGGTATAAGGTTTTTACCAAAGGCCAGATCAAGCAAAATAACTGAAAAACAGAAAAAGAAAATCAAATTTATCTATCATTTTCTTTGCATTGCATGCTTAGTCACTGAGATGTCTGTTTTTTTGGTAGTTTTTTTCTGATGTTTGATGAAAATTATTCATCACTGATTCATACTCAGGTACACGGGAAGTGAGCGCTGGGAGCAGTCAGCCGTTAAATAGCTGTTTTGTTTGCGATGCCTTTTCACAGCGACAGGTTCAGCGTTTTACAGGGAAATAAGCCTAAGAGCAGAGATTCTTTTTCCACATGCTTTTCCATCTCAGCCTGTTTTCCCATTTATTATTCCACCTGTTTGGGGGGAGGGATCGTTCTGGATTTTTCCTCCCTGGAGTCCATCTTCAGTACAGACGTCGGTGCCATGCAAAGCACCCCGTCCTCCTCCCTCTAAAGAACGTGATGGGTACAAAATCGCCCAGCGGCCTGGAGGGACTGCGCCCAGCGCTCAACAAATGGTCACGGAGCGAGCAGGGCTGGGGGGCTGCGGGTCAGTGCTGTCTGCCCGGGACCAGGCCGGCCCCCAGCGCAGGGCGAAATCCGACAGGACAAGGGGCACACGCAAAGCCCCCAAAAGAAACGAGGACCAAGCACCTTTGGGGGGGCAGCTTATTTGGGGGGTCGCGCACCTTTGCATTGTTGAGATCTCGCGTATTTTAGGAGCCAGTGCATTTTGGAGGATCAGCTCATCTTTGGGGGGACAGCGCACGTTTGGGGGGACAGCACACATCTGGGGGACAGCGCACATTTGAGGGACAGGGCACAATGAGGGGACAGCGCACATCGGGAGACAGCACACATCTTGGGGGACAGCGCACATCGGGGGGGCAGCGCACATCGGCGGGACAGCGCACATTTGAGGGTACAGCGCACATTTGAGGGTACAGCGCACATCTGGGGACAGCTCACATCGGGGGGACAGCGCACATCTGGGGACAGCTCACATCGGGGGGACAGCGCACATCGAGGAGACAGCGCACATGGGGGGACAACGCACATCTGGGGGGACAGC